GAATGGCCCACATCCTAAAGTCAGCCAATAACAAATGCTGGAGGGGATGTGGAGAAAGAGGAACCCTATTGCACTGCTGGTGGGAATGTACACTAACTAATACAACCACTTTGGAAAGCAGCGTGGAGGTTCCCCAGAAAGCTAAACAGACCTTCCCTATGACCCAGCCATACTACTCCTAGGCATCTACCCTGAGCAACAGAAACCAGGATACAAGGAAACATGAATCCCCATGTCATTGCAACACTCTTCACAATAGCCAAGATATGGAAACTACTGAGTGGATCCAAAAATTGTGGTACTTATGTACAATGGAATATTATGCAGCCATTATAAAGGACAAAATAATGGCATTTGCAAGGAAATGGATGGAACTAGAAAAAATCATTTTGAGTGAGGTAAGGCAGGAGCAAAGAGACAAACGGCACATGGTCTCCCTGATACGTGGACGTTAAATCCAAAATGCAAGGATATTGACAAAGTAAACAGGACTCAAGAAACAAAAGCCCTCCACTCATCTTGTCATATCATTCATTACTAAATGACCCCATGTTGTTGTTTACCTTTATGGTATATATGTGCGCACATCTGAGGGAAGCTAGGAGGGTACAGAATCAGAGGGAAACGGGAAAGCATACAACAGAGGGGCCATCAGCCGCACTGGACAGGGATGAAAACGAACTAAGCCACTCAGGGAACAGCTAACACTAAGCACAAGGAAAGAAATGTACATACCACCCGATGTGAGAAATAGTTATATTGTCAGAGCTCATTGAACTCACAAGCTGTATAGACCACAATAATGACAACTTGCCTCATGAAGGTTAGAATGTGTTCGTGACTTTACCTAAGTATCAATAACTCACAATACTCTGAAATTTATGTAATCAATCACAATAAAAAATTATAAAAAGAAAATGCAGGGGAGAGGTGTGCAGATCCACAAAGTTGATACGATCATAAACATGGAGGCCCACTGTCTCCATTGCAGACTGAAGAAGCTGGGGGACCAGGAAAATCCGGGCCTTCCCAGGCCTCCGAGCACCTCTAGTGTGGCTAGCTGACACGGTCCCAACAAGGCATTAGCCCAGGTTTATACAGCCATCCCTTCAGTTCACCTGCACAGCAAACCCAGCCGTGGAGGTGAATGCCCCACCATCCTCTCTCCTCAAGGAAGAGAGGATGGGCCTGGTGTCCCATGGTCCCAGGGTTGTAGCTGGGCTAAGTTCTTGGCCCCGACTCACCGGAAAGGTCAGCCTATGCTCTGCTGTCAATGCTCGGCTCACTCTGGGCAGTGCACCCATGACGTATTTACAGACCATTATGCAGAGTAATTGAACAAGAGGATGTGGGGCTTGGAGATCTTTGAGGGTGTGCAGTTACTTCAGTGGAGTCTCAGGCATTCTCCAGCAGAGCTTCCCATGCAGATGGAGCTTTACTCCTGCAGAAGAACAGCCGGTGTAGTTACTCTGAGCTACTCTAGGCTTGGAGGACTGGGTGCAACTCATCAAATGAGTACAGTTAAACCAGCCTGTACAGGCCTGAGCCTGTCACATCTACAAGAAAGAACTCCCCCCTGGAAGCAAAGACCTGTCTCCAATTGTCTGATTTAGGGACCAGGTAAGCCCAGATGCTGGGGAAGGTAGAATCCAGGAGGTGGAAGGCACAGACAGGGGGAAGTAGAGGAAGGTTCCACCAACACGGAGATGAATAAGATCAGCCCTGACCTCAGGACACAATTCAAGGTAGTTCAGCTTGGGAAAACACCTCTGGGTTTCCATTTTAATTCCTGGGTTATCAAAACCCAATGAGAGGAACCTAGTAAAGAGCTATATTTCCACCCAAATGAGAGTTTCTAGGAAACAACAGCACCTTATAGTAGTTTCAAGCATCCAAGTTCTAAACACTGAATCAAATCACAGATAGCACCCCCTGCAATCCTAACAAAATTACAGATAGACCCCCCCCCCCCAAATCCTAACAACACAGAAATTAAGCCTGTTTTACACAGCAGTGGTGTTTAAATATACGACTTTTCTGCTATATGAAAACGTAGCCTTTTAAAGACTCTTTAAAGTTCAAGTTGAATTTCAAGTAATCACTCTGCAGTAGCTCCAGGAGAACTCTTATTCCTCCCAATTTAAAGTGCCTATTTAAAAAAAAAAGGAAAATGGAAAATATGCCTTAAGGAATTATGTCCTCAAGGCTACTACTACTTGTTTCCAGGCTTTTGTTAAAGAACAGAATGTGTTGAATTCTTCTAAGCTGGCAGGGGACCAAGCACAACACTATACAATGAGGTAGCTGAGAGCAGAGTTCTTCCTCTGAACACAAGAGTAAAGGAATCCATGTGTGGCATTCTCACCCAATTAAACAAGAAACGTGAGAAAGCAAGCTGGCTAGCGTGGTACTTAAACTAAGCTTACGGGTGCAACTTGATAAAGTTAATTCCAAGGGTAAAAGCTACAAATTCTTTGTGTCTGATGAGTAAGGATCAACAAAATTTAGGTGCCTACACCTAACTATTTGTACCATCATGCTAAAAATAAGGCCCTGGAAAATATTTCCACCAAGGAGAAAAATGAGCTGACGTGTACAGGAAATCTGAATTACTATAGAATGGCCATTGTGCTGGGTTCCAGTAGCTCACCCTTGGAATCCTAGCTACTTGGGAGGCTGAGAGATGAGGATTGTGATTTGAAGCCAGCCTGGAAAGAAAGCAAAAAGCCCTATCTCTTAACTATAGGCCCATAGGTATGTTTTCATTGTTAGACCATGAATGTCTGCAATTTTCCAATGAACTGGAAAGAATATATTGGACTAAATACAAAGCTAGCAGAACATTTTAGCATGCTGAGGTGGTACAGAAGAGGGAAAGCACCAGAAAGCTTCAATTCCTCATAAGCACACCTCACTTCTCTTCCAAACAGAGACACTTGGTGAATTCCTACATTTCTGACATTTCACTGAAAAGAAAGCCGGAGATGGCTCAGCTAGCAGCCACTCAACTTGCATGGATCTGCTTGGGCTGTGCTACAAATGGTTATCTTGTGCTTACAAATACTTGCACGCATAGAAAAAAAAAATCAAGCAATGGTCTAACAGCCTGAAGAGTAAACTGAAAATCCAAACGCCTGGCCCTTGGCCTTTTGGATGCTGCTCACATTGGAAACGAGAGATGAGGCTCCCTGTCCTTAGCCCGAGCCTGCACTCAGAACCATGGCAGGAGCACCAGGACGCGGGGATCTGAGCAGCAGGTTCACAGTAAGTGAACCTCACAGCAGTAGGTAGAAGCTAACATTAAGTACCACCATGGGGTCAGGAAAATGCTGAGGGACATACGGAGAACAGAGGGCCGTGCACCGGGCTCTCCAGACACTGGACAGCTTTCACTCGGTCCAGTTTCCTGCTTCAGAGGAAGGCAGCCCGTGTGCGCAGGTTTTCACTTCAGACCCAGCCAGAAAACCTCTCAGAGCCTCTCTGCATCTAGTGAAGAGCTTTGTGCTGCCTGCAAGGATCCACACTGTTCGCCGGCATTTACTGACCACCTCCTGCGGGCACATACTGCACGCGGATGACAGAGGGGCTGCGTCTGGACCCACAGTAGGTCTGTGAGCCAGAGAGGAGGTGGTGTGCCATTTGCCTCCGTGCTAGGCAGCCAGAAACACGAGGTGCTCATTAGATCTGTGTGGATTGGACCTGTCTTTTCTGTCACCGGCTCCCTCCGAACCCTTGTGGTTAAGGTGCGGCACTGGGGGAAGCAGCCTCGTCTCTCCCTCCACAGGCTGTTTTCCAGGGGTTCTAAGGCCTTTCAGTGCATGCAGGGCAAGTGTCACCCCATCCTTGGAGAATCATGATGATCGTGTCTGATCACAGGAGGCCTCGTGAGGCAGGAGGACCAGTACCTGGCAAGGTGACACTGTAGTATCTAGCACTCCTTTGAGGACCTTTTTTGGGGGGGTCTCTGGTTCGGTACACTGGCTGGGAACATACCAGCTGGAGCCTAAATGAACTAAGGAAGGCAAGCCAGCTCCAGACCACCTAACTCCCTGCCATCAGTGACTGGGGCCCAGGGCTGGCGGCCCACGCTACCATGGCACCTGGCCCGTCAGCCCCTTACAAGAGATAGAGACCACACGGCCAAACCGTCCATGCCCGAGGCACGAGCGGACTGGTGTACCAAAGTGAAGTGGAGGTGTGCGGGCATGGGGCGCCCTCCGCCTGCTGCCCTGCACCCGCCGCCCCGTCCCCCCAGCCTTTTAGTGGCTGGAACACTGCAGCTGCCTAACGCAAGAATGCCTAACGCGAGCCATCCACTCCTCATGGCAACGACACAGACAGCCATCTTCCCACGCCAGACCTCTGCGGCAGCCAGCTCCTCGTCCATAAACCTGCTCTCATCTTGCTAGACAGGAGAAAGACAAACACCAAGGAAAACCGCTGACTACAAGTAATTCCGTATTTACACTGCACGAGAGTTTAACACCATAGTATAAACTGAAGGTCAACAGGCTCGAGAATTCATCGGAAGCACCAGGAGACAGTAATGTATGGAGTTTGGAACTACAATTCCCAAAGTAAACATGTACACACAGACTCATCAGTCGTGGAACAATTCACGCACACACACAGGCTCGCTCGTGCAGCTGCCACGCGCCAGCGCTCCTGAAACCAGTCGCACAAAACACTTCATCTTAAATTAAACACGTACATCTTTGAAAAAAAAAATCTATGCTTGGATATATGAAACAAAGAAAGAAATAAACGTGCTTTAGACCCTTGCATGAGTGAGTTCCTTTAAATATTCGCTTACTCTGACCTGAGACAACTCTCCTTCTGTTGGCGGGGTGATGAAAGCACATCGCTCCCCACGGATGATAGAATTTAACATTTAAGATCTGCTTCAGTCTCCAGCTCCAACCTACACTCCATCAGAGACTGCCAGCAGTTTACCCAGAAAACACGTCTCAAGGCATATCTGGGAGGGTTAAACACAAACCTGCATGAAATGAGTTATAATTTATTTCACAATACTGAAATTAGTGCAGTTTACAAAAACAAAAAAGGTCATGATTATTTTAGAACAGAAGAAAATTAAACACACCCAACGCTTCAACAGGGCAGGGCACGATTTATATACAGGAAAAAGACGTTTGGCACCAAGCAGCTTTTGGTGGTTATTGCATCTTGGCAAATTTAGTTTACAAAACCTTGTCTGATTTCTGCAGCTACGGCATCGATGAACTGAACTGAACATGAATCTGAGGTTTCTGAGGTGAATTCACCAAGTCCTGCGGGTGCTGCTCACAGCGCAACGGGACCACTGACTCCCGGGGAAGGCTTGGCGGGGACCAGCAGGAATTTTAAATGTCGAGCATTACACGCACACTGCGGACCATCATGGCCATCACAAGATGTCACCGTGTCCCCACAGCAGCGTCCACACAGGATATTTCACCAAAGCAGACTAGCAGCTCATCACAGAAAGCGGGTGTTCTTGCTTTGTGGTGATCACGTGGTTTGCTTTGGTGAAAAGCTACCTAACGCCTTGGGGAATGCGCTGTCCACAGGTGCCCGACAAACAATACACTCAAAGCCTCACAGACTGGCCCTGAATGACTGGGCTGTAGGGATGTGCTGCACACCCGGCTCAGGGCTTCCAGGGGAAGATAAACACCGGACACCGTCTCTTCTGGCCCAGAGCGGAGTGCTACGGTGTCACGCCTGACATTCTCTGCGGCCTCTCCCACGAGTTGACTGACCTGCAGGAGGAGGGTCTCCCTTCTCGTGTCCTCGGGTGGGAAGACACAGTGGTGGTTCGTGTGCATGTTGTGAGCAGCACACGCACATCCCCAACAGGAAGCTTCTACAAGAAATCCCTGTTCTCCAAGTTACACCAGAGGATGTATTTACACATTTATGAATCATTAAGACAAAACGTTACCATGTCCTTGTAACCCGATTCTAAGAGAAAAAAAGCCATAGAAAACAATTAGAAATGAACTCGATAGTAAATTGATTAGAAATTTGATATTGCATAAAATTCAAACTATGAAGTAATCAAGCACTTTGAAGTCCCTGATTTCACACAAGGTAATTTGATGAAACCAAAGTAACAAGGTAAGTCTGGCTAAATGAAAGAATTCTTTTCTCCCAGTGAGAAGAGGGGAGGAGGGCTGGGAAAATGGACTGACAGGACACGGGGGAGAGGAGAGAGGAAATCTGCTCTACTAGGAACAGAATGAAATTAACTTGAGGTAGTTTATTCTACCAGCCAAATGTTACTCAGAACATAATTTGTCTAAAACTCTCACCAGAGAATAGCATTGGAAATACGCTCACAAAGACTAGATTCTTAACACAGACTCACACTCTCAAGACGCGTTCTGGAACGCTACACAGTAGTAAACAGGACTTTGTGTGCTTTCAGGCAGATTATATTAAAAAGTTTTTGATCCCTACGCATCCTATTAGACAGTCTTTTTTTTTTTTTTCCTAAGTCATAGCAGTCCTTTCTTGTTGTCTGACTTGGGTCTTTCTCTTCTAAAGTCTCCTCCCAGAAATAAAATGGCTGTGACCACCAGAGGGGAATGTCATCGTGTGAGCCTTTGCACCCCAAAAACTCCCCGCCAGAAACCACAGCACAACACCAGAATCGAGACGCACGCAGGGCTGCAGCGGGACGCAGCCATCGGCCCAGTCTTCACGGAGAAATTTTACCTTGGTTTCAGTCCATCAGGATACAGTTTGAAAGAAGATTCTTAGGACAGAGCACTAGTGGTAAATGGAGACTAACCGGCAGAGTGCCGTGGAACGCGTTAGGCACAAACCCCACTCCCTGGTAGGTTCGGCATGGCACACCCATCGGGGCGTAGCAGAACACACTCTTGCTATGTTTGGATATGTTGATTTGCATATATGGATCTGTCGTTGGTTTACCAAAGCCACACCCTTGATGACAGGAGTCCAGCACCCCCATGCCCTCTTGGGCAAAGGGGCTCTTGGGACTCTCCGCTTACCTGGCCCGGTTCCCACCCCCTCCAGCCCTCCTGCCCTCCAGGTTCACCACCCTCCATGCTCTGCGGACGCCTCAGCTGGAGGAGCTAGCTTTGCAACAGTTACACGACCTCCCTGCAAGCTTCTAAGCGGAGTGGCCATACCCACGCCCTACAGAGCAGGTCTCGGGTGATGGGCTGGGCTAGGCTGCGCTGTGCGTGCGCGCCGGCGGGACCTGCCTGCTGCTCGGCTCTTCAGGGCGAGTGGACTCGGATCCGGAACAGGCCCTGCTGCAGCTGCAGGCGGAAGAGCTTGCAGTTGGCGATGCGTAAGGCCGCACACCCGGTGCGGCGGAGATCAGACGGGAGCAGCGGCTTCGTGTGGTGCCAGGTCCCGGTGCTTCTCTTAAACTCCCGCACGTAGTCGTAATTGGTGCCTGGAGACAGACAGCAAAGGTGAGGACCGGGGCCTCCGGGTCCACAAACAACTTCTACACAACCTCAGCGGCAGCGCTCCTACCTGTGTCCAGGTCTCCGATTACATAAATGCTGGCTCCGATAGGGACAGCGCCATACACGAACGAGGAGCTGGCGGGGATGCACAGATTCTGGTCGTTGAGATAGATCCACCTGCAGACAAAGCCCAGAGCACAGTGAGGAAGGGTGTGCAGTGAGCAGCGTTCAGGACGACAGAACGCGGGGACCCTCCTGCGGGCGAGCGCCACTGTGCTTCCGCCTGCCCGCTGGAGTGAACCAGTGACCTGCTCCTTTTTATGTCCAAGTAGTATTCCACTACCGGGATGAACCGGAATTTGTTCATCTACTCACTTCCTTAGGTGGCTTCCAATTTCTGGCACTGTGAATCAAACTTATGAACGAGAAGGGGCTATTTGTTTATTTGCAGACTTATTGAATTGCTGGTTCTGTGGGAAGGGCGATGAGAAAATGCCTCACTCTTTTTTATTTAGTGCTAGTACTGGAGCCTGAACTCAGGGCCTGGGCCCTGTTTCTAAGCTTTTTCTTGCTCAAGGCTAGCATTCTACCATTTGAGCTGTATCTCCACTTCTGGTTTTTCTGTTTTTTTGGCTAGCTAATTAGAAAAAAGAGTCTCAGACTTTTCTGCCTGGGCTGGCTTTGAACCATGATCCTTACATCTCATCCTCCTCCTGAGTAGCTAGGATTACGGGCGTGAGCTGCCAATGCCTGGCTGAGAGCAAATTTTGTGTGCAAGTGAATTTTGTAATGAACAAGGAAACGCTGTCTTGGCTGCAACGCCTTGGGCAGGGAAGGCAGGGCTGGAGGCCTCCATGATGTGTACTTTGAGAAGTCAAAACTCTGTGGAAACACAGAGCTGCGAGCTTCAGAGGCCAAGGATGAAGCAGGAGAGGGTGGGGCCCGAGGGAGGAGAGGAGACACAGAGCCTGGGCTGTCCGGACGCCTTCACGGGCTCTGCTGTAACCTCTGGACAAAACAAACCCCGGCTAGGAGAGAGCCCTGCACACTGACTAAAGCAGGCCGACGGCACAGAACAGCTGCGGGTTGAGCAATGAGCCCACTCAGCATGGCTTCCAGTTCCTTCTCTGCGGCAGCCTGCGGGGCAGCCCTGGGCAGCTAAGCCAGCCATCAGGAATCGGAAATTGGGTGAGGCGCCTGCGGGAACCAGGATTGCCAAACTGAAGCACAGAATCCCAGGAAGAAGAGAGGCAGTGGCCCTCCGTGGGAGTGCATCTGCTTGTCTCAAAATTGGGCCTTGGACCAGGCCCACCTGCAGCTGCTGTGAGATCGAACCCCACCCACTGCAGTGCCCACCCGCCGCCCTCCCCACGGCAAGGGGTGAAGACCCACGGCCTCCATTACCACACTCACACTGCCCTTCCTGGTTGCAATCCAGAATTACTCAACTAAATAAGAGCCAGAAAAAAAAAAACACAGAACTTGTTCTCAAGAGAATGAGCCATCGACAACTGCCAACTGTGAAGTGACTCATGCTGGGCTCAGGCTGGGAGTCCAGTGGAGCCGCCACCACCACCACCACGCCCAGAAAGGGGAAAGGAGGGAGTTCGAATGCAGCCACCACTGCCCCACTCGGTATGGAAGGGGAAACAAGTGGAGGAAGAGGAGAAAGCCAATTTCAGAACACAACTTTCTCCACAAATGAACTGTATAGACTTCAGGACTGAAAAGTCAATACTGGAAAGTTTGCTGGGTGGTCACAGAGACATAACTCAGGGAGGTAAGGAAGGAAAGCAAGCTTGAGGACCTTGCTCTGATCAGGGAAAAAAGGCTGCTTCAGATGGGAAGACAGTGCACACAAGCCCTATTTAAGATGAGTGGTTCATACTTGGGAGGTGGACAGCTGGAGGATCATGGTTTGAGGCCAGCCCTGGGAGAAAAGTTCACTAGACTCTTTCTCCAAAATATGCAAAAAAGCAGAGCTGGAAGTGTGGCTCAAGTGGTAGAACAGAGAAATGAGATGATCAAAGTTTTTTTTTTTTTTTGTCAGTTCGTGGGGGGCTTGAACTCTAGGCCTGAGCGCTGTCTCTCAGCTCTTCAGCTCAAGGTAAGCACTCTACCGCTTGAGCCACAACACCACTTCTGGTTTTCTGAGTGGTTTATTGGAGATAAGAGTCTCATGGACTTTCCTGCCTGGGCTGGCTTTGAACCGTGATCCTCTGTGCTCAGGCTCCTGAGCAGCTAGGATTACAGGTGAGAGCCACTGGTGGCGAGATGATCAAAGGTTTTATCTAATTCATCTTTTAGAAGCACAGGGAATGGGCAGTGAGCTGTGATTCAAGTGGTAGAGCACCAGCCTTAAGTAAAAAAGCCAAACAAGAGTACAACTCAGAAGTTCAAGCCCCAGGGGCTGGGAAGGTGGCTCAGTGGTAGAGCGCTTGCCTTGCATGCTCGAGGCCCTGGGTTCGATTCCTCAGCACCACATAAGCAAAAAGAAAAAAGCCGGAAGTGGCGCTGTGGCTCAAGTGGTAGAGTGCTAGCCTTGAGCTGAAGAGCTGAGGGACAGTGCCCAGGCCCAGAGTTCAGGCCCCACGACCGGACCAAACAAACAAACAAACAAAAAGAAGTTCAAGCCCCAGTACAGTATGTTGGCTTACCAGGGCAAAAGTGAGGTGAAATTGGGTGTAGTACAAAACCTCACAGAGAGTATAAAGGTAAGATAGCAGGGGAGAGTCAGAGGATGGGAGGAAAGCATGTTACCCCGCAACCCGGGGAGGAGGACATGCCAAAGGCCCTGTCTCTCTGAGTCTGTTGCTGTCAGATCTGGTAATAGCTATGGCAATGCCTGTGCTTTCCTTCTAGTAGTTTTGGATTTTGTTTTTTTCAGAAACAGAAAATAATAAGACTTGGCATTTTCCCAGGAAAATTCTAACCTAAAAATAGAGAACAAAGACAGGAAGACAAGAGATTACGTAGAAACAATCAAAATGGTCTCCAGTCTAATACTGACTGCTCATCTGGAAGTTTCCATAATGTACAAATAGAACATCCTAGACAGTATCTTCCCTGGGGACGATTATGGGCAAGGCTGTGTCTGCCAAGTCAGTGTGGCAGTTGAGGATGATGCTGGGGCCCCAGAATGCCTGTGTTCGGATCCCAGCTCAGCCACACGCTCACATGTGAGACAGGACCCCGCCCCCCGTCACTCAGAGGCCACTGAGCGCAAGGGAGTAGACAGCTGACACTCAGCACTGGCAGGCTGGCCACGTGTTCAGTGCTGTCTGTGCACGAAGATCCTCTCTGTTACACTGACTAGAGACCTTAGCTTTTGTCATTCTATTTACAAATGAACATCAGGAGCCTAGAAGTAAGGAAGTAGAAGGTGTATACATTTAATTTATTGTCTCCTGAATAGCAACAAATCTTTGGATGATTATGGACTTAAAACAAGCAATGCAGTTATATTTAAAGTTCATCAACTACAAATATGCAACAGACTTCTGGAAGCATAAAGACCCTGATAAGTTACAGCCCACCCAGAAGCAGACCCAAGCCTAGACGACCAGCACAGAGTGGCAAAAACATCTGCCAGGCTGACGTCCCCACAACGGGCCAGGGCGGCCCACGCTGTGGACACAGTAGTCGGGTCATTATGAAAACAGCGCGTGTCAATATAAACACATTGCTTCTGCATGCTAATGAAGATGGACAGACTTTCTCAAGATTCATTTAGACAGAAAATTAATATAGTATTTTATTCCTTGGTCAGTAAGCTGCTGTGACAACAGATGAACGAGAAAGAAATGCAGTTGTCTTTGAGGTTCTCTTCCCAACCCTTCCATACGTAAGATACCCTCTGAATTTGTCTCATTGATTGTCTAATATATTTTCTTTCCTAAGACAGACTCCTCCAGTAATTGGAAATGAAAAAAGGCTATGCAATGTCCTAAATTTAAAATACCTTAAAAGGTAGGTAGCATTGATATGCATTTCTAATGTTCTGGTCTCTGTTCATTGTTTGCCCAAGTCTGAAATAATAAGAAACCAAATATGCACTATGGCACCCCCTTCTGGTAACAAGAGCACACAGCAGGCAGCCTCTCCTGGGTAAGGTGTGTGGGAGAGGGCAGGAAGGAAGGACTGTCACAGGCACACACTGATTGGTCCATTTACCCAGCATCTGAGCCTCTGTGCAGACCAGGGGGCAAGTGGGACTTAGCCCGAAGGTGTCTTCAGACAATGCAGGCCCAGACCAGGTGAGTGCAGGGGCAACATGGCCAAGGCCTGAGCGAGCCTGGGAAATGGGAGGAGAGGCTCTCATGGAGGGGGCGTACGCAAGCGGACTGGACGAACAGTGGCAGGAAAACGTAAGGCAGAAGCAGTGGCACGCAAACATACACCTGAAGATACCCAGACATGACTGGAGGAAAGTGGCTTGTCCTAAGGCATCTGGGGTGGACAGCAGTAAAACAGCACACAAAGGCCATCTGAGTTAGGGAGGTGAAGCTTTTGCCTGAAAATTACAGGGAGCCAATAAATGATTTTAAGCAACTCAAGGTTAAGATCAGTTCTGCATCCATGTGTGCTGGTACTGGGGCTTGAACTCAGAGCCGGGGTGCTGTCCCTTAGATTTTCTTCTCAGGGCTGGTGATCTATCACTTGAACCATAACTTCACTTGTGGCTATCTGGTGGTTGATTGGAGATAAGAGTCTCACAGACTTGCCTACCCAGACTGGCTTTGAACCATGATCCTTAGATCTCAGCCTTCTGAGTAGCAAGGATTATAGGAGTGAGCCAGCACTGCTTTGCTATGTCCTGCACTAGAGATCTCTTTCTATGGCTTTCCTTTAAGTCTGAAGTAACTGAATAAATATTTAGCATGTGCTGGATATATCTCTTGAAGAAACAATTCAATAAAACAGCTTGAAACTGAAACTAAACAAAGCTACAGCCTCAGGCCGAAATTTTCTGAATAGAGACCCAGAAACACAACAAATCAAAGAAAGGTTGGACAAATGGGATTGCATAAAGTTGCAGAGCTTCTGCAGGGCAAATGACATAGCTAGCAAGATCAATAGAAAGTCCACGGATTGGGAGAAGATCTTTACTAGCCATACAACGGACAAGGGTCTCATATCTAAAATATACTTGGAACTCAAAAAATTAAACCCCCCAACAACAAATCCTCAAAGAAACAACTGCCCAATAAATAAGTGGGCAAAAGACTTAAAGAGAAACTTCTCTGAAGAAGAAAGAAGGATGGCCAATAGACACATGAAGAAATGTTCAACATCCCTAGCCATAAAAGAAATGCAAATCAAAACAACATTGAGATATCACCTCACTCCAGTTAGAACGGCAAAAATCAAGAACTCTAACAACAACAGATGCTGGAGGGGATGTGGACAGAAAGGAACCTTACTTCATTGTTGGTGGGAATGTAAACTTGTTCAACCACTTTGGAAAGCAGTATGGAGGTTCCTCAAAAGACTTCACATAGAACTCCCCTATGACCCAGCAATCCCACTTTTGGGCACTTACCCAAATGTTTACAAACAAGACCACACTAAAGCTACCAGCACAACTATTGTTTATTGCAGCCTTATTTACCATAGCTAAGATATGGAACCAACCCAGATGCCCCTCAGTAGATGAATGGATCAAGAAAATGTGGTATATATACACAATGGAATTCTATGCCTCCATCAGAAAGAATGACATTTCCCCATTTGTTAGGAAATGGAAAGGCTTGGAAAAAATTATATTAAGTGAAGTAAGCCAGGCCCAAAGAAACATAGGTCCCATGGTTTCCCTTATTTGCAATATCTAGTATATGTATGAGTCAAGCGGAAAAGGTCAGATAATGTGATGTTAGGAAAACGAACCCTTAAATATGTATTTTAATGTTTTTTTTTCCTCTCATGCATGTGTTTCTAACGCATTTATAAGATTATTTCTTTGTTGCTTTGTATGTCCCTCCCCCACAGTGTAACCCCCGCTTTCACTATATTTGATGTCAGTATAACTTGTGGAGGAGATGGGGACAAACAAGTCGTTTAAGGATTCAGGTGGACCTGTTGCAACAATGAGAAGTACAAAATGTCATGTCAAAAACGAGCTTTACAGTGTCGGTGTGGGGGGGGGGGGGGGAAGGATTGGGTGGGGGGGAGGGGGGAGGCTGGGAAGGGAGGTGAAGGGTAAACAAAGGAGGAGGCTGCAATGCTCGGTAAGAAATGTATGCATTATCCTGCCCATGTAATTGTAACCCCTCTGTACAGTATGTTCTCAAATAAAATAAAATTAAAAAAAACAAAAAACAAAAAAAAACAAAGCTACAGCCTGACTGTGTAAGGAATGGCGTTGACAGCCTGCCTCTGGAAGCGCAGGGGAATGAATGGCTGCTCACAGTACCTTTTAAACTCGTCATGGTAGAACTCAGACTTGCAGGTGACCATCTCACTGCCCTGGATGTCCTCTCGGCTTCGGACTCCGCCAAACACGTAGAGCTCCATGGCGACGCCACAGGCCACTGCCCCAAACCTGGAAGGCCGGAGCACAGAGGCATGGGTTAACCAGACCTGGCCTGGGTTCCACACACAGCGGGCCTTCCTTGGTTAGAAGACACCGAGTCAAATACCTATCAGGTTCCCCAATAGAGAGCAGGAACACATCTAGGCTTCGGGCCACGAGACCGCTCCTCATCAGCAGGTCAGCCCCAGCACACACCGCCACCTCGCTCACCTCCTCTCCTTCAGCGGGCAGATCGCCGTCCACTGCTGTGTCCTCGGATCGTAGCATTCCACAGACTCAAACAGCTTTCCGTAGGACCCTCCGCCCATGGCATAGATTTTCTTTTTCATAGCTGCATAGCAGCCAATCTGAAAGGAGAAGACCGTTTATTCTTAAGACTAGACAAATTAGAGAGTAATTTGTGCAAAGAGCATCTTAAGATCTTTAGGGAAAGATTTGGTTTACTTACTTTTATTTTTTATAAATATTTTATATATGTAATATAATTACATATAATTATATGTTACATATATATTATATAAAATATGTAAAGTTACATATATAAAAATATATACTATACAGAGGGGTTACAGTTACATCAGTTAGGTAATGAGTACATTTCCTATTGAGCATTGTTACCCCCTCCTTTGTTTTCCACCTATCATCCCTTCCCTCCCCACCTCCCCAACTCCTTCCCGCACCGTTTGTTTTTAACATAGGGTCCTGTACATCTCATTGTTACGATGAGTTGACCTGTATCCCTATTTCAGCATTTTGTTATTTCCCTTCCCCAGGAACACAACACAACACACAAACCATCAAACCTGCCCCCTTTGGCCCCCGAGGACCATTCATTAACATCCAGTGTGTAAAGAAATCAGTTGTGACAAGCCACCTCCTCACCTTTCTGACCATGGTCAGATCGGATTGCTTCGTCCACGTTTTTGAATAAATGTCATAGCACTCCATGGAGATGAGCTCCCTCTCGCCATCCTCCCCTCCTAAGATGTACAGCATGCCATCGATCTCCACAATCCCGAAGTTGTGTCTGGCCTGAGGAGACACAGAGATGCGTGTGGTGACAGGGCCAACATCGTTTTCTCAGTGTTCCGGGGGAGACACCAGGAGTGCTCCTCCCTAGAGCCCTTTGCCCCAGAGGAATTCCCGACGGCTCACAGGAGACACAGGAGCCAGAGCCAGCACGACTCAGGACCTGCCTGTGCTGGCAGAGCCGTTACTCCTCAACACACAAAAAGCTACAAGAATTCCTTAGGTGGCGACTGGCTCGTCAAAAGTGTTTGCATATGGCAGTGGTAAGGCAGGATGAGTGAGTTAAGGCACCACAGAAGACTAGTCGTGGCTGGGAGGCAGGTAATTCCCGCAGAGCAGGGAATTCCCCATGGGACAGTAGGTCACAGCGTCTTCTGTACCCAGCACCCAGCTCAGACAACGCTGACCAGAGCAGAGGAGACTGCCTGCTGCCAGCCTACCTTAGCACCTGTGAAGACCCATTGTGTGAAGAGGTGGCGTACGGAACAGGAGAGGGAGCTGAGGCAGGGGAAGGCATGCAGAGATGGGGGAACAAGCCCCCCATCCCTGGGGGAGGCCACTGTCGGCAGGGAGCACAGGCTCCACTGGGTTTGAGAAGCAGGCAGTGGAGGAAACCAAGGCCAAGGAACTAGGTGGACTGAGGGCAGGCAAGAGGCAGAGGCCAGGCCGGGCTTCTCGGCTCCTATTGCAGAACACACAACAAAGGGCCGAGGAGAAAGAGCAAGAACGAAACGTGAACTTCACCTCGTTCATGGGGGGTAGTGCAGTCCACGTGTTGGCATCAGGGTCGTACTTTTCTCCGGAGCTCAAGGTCTGCTTGTTTTCATCTTGGCCCCCGAATACGAACAGAAATCCTTCTGCAAAGAGGAGACACACGTGACCCCTGAATCACGACTCCCCGGCCTGGGAGCACCACCAGCCAGGAGCCAGCCTTTACCGCACCGGATCGGTGCCTTGGCGACGGCCACACTGTGCGCCACGCGGGACACCCAGACCGTCATGCTTGGCTCCTTAGACTCTAGGAGATGCCCAACCCCTGTAGCGTGAGAGGGAGGCTGGCACTGCCTCCATGTCCAGGCAGCTCCGAGCCATGGCTCTGACCTGCCCCATGCCCCGGCTCTGGGTCTCAAGTAGCTTCTGAGCCACGGCCCTCTGTTCTCTGACCCCAGGAACACCCAGAGCCCAGCACCTGGGTGTGCTTTACATTCAAACCAGGATCCAAGCGTAATTGTTGAATTTCCTATTTTGTGTTATAGTGAATTACGCTGACCTTCTGCAAAACACATCTAAGCTGCTGGATAAACACAAGCCTGGAGCCCTAGCGACTCAGGAGCTCAGATTTGAAAACAGCCTGAATAGGGACTCAAGTTAACTAGCCAAATCTGGAAGTGGAGGTACGGTTCAAGTGATCAAGTGGCAGCCTTGAGCTGAAAAAGGCACGTGAGAGTATAAGGCCTTGAGTTCAAGCCCCAGTACCAGCACACTAACAAAACATATCAACCAAAAAACAAAACAAAATGAAACAGCAGGAACAAAAACTCAATCTGGGTCAGTGAGACATGGTCTCAAAAAAAGTTTTTTTTTTTTTTTTTTTTGTTGGTCATGGGGCTTGAACTCTGGGCCTGGGCGCTGTCCCTCAGCTCTTCAGCTCAAGGCCAGCCCACTACCATTTGAGCCACAGCGCCACTTCCGGTTTTCTGGTGGTTTATTGGAGATATGAGTCTCATGGACTTTCTTGCCCAGACTGGCTTTGAACTGTGATCCTCAGACCTGAGCCTCCTGAGTAGCTAGGATGATGGGCGTGAGACACCAGCACCCGGCCTTCAAAAGACGTTTTTGTGTTGGTGTAACCCCCAAATGCTGTACCACGAGGCTGTGTGCAAACGTACCTGCCGAGAGCACGCCGTGGTTGATCCTGGGCATGCTCAGGGGGGCCAGCTCAATCCAGAGCTGCCTGTTGGGGTCGTAGAGGGGGCACATACAGCGCATGGCTGCGGTTGGTTTTCGAGAGCTGGGGAAAGAAGGAATTGCTATGGCTCAGCTTACAATCACCACGGCTAACTTAGTGCTACAGAAAATGTCTGCAACATACACAAAACCGATCGCTTCAGATACAGCACCGGCCCAACGCGCCCCCCCCCCCCCGCCCCCGCCCCGCCCCCCGCCCCCACCCCAGCGGCACTCACACTCGCTCCTCCCCGCCGACCGTGACGATGCACTCCGAGTAGCCCCTCGGCTTGAAGTTGGCCAGCATCGCCTCGCCCTGCTGCGGCTGGCTGAGGGGGATGTTGCTGCACTCTTTGACAATTTCTCGCACTAACGGTTCATTCAGCATCTGTTCCCGCAAGTAACTGGAGTCCAACCCCGAGACCCAGAGTGCTGACATGACGTCCTTCATGTGGACCTGCAGGACAGGGCAGGCAGAAGGGGGACGACAAAGGGTTCCAACTCACTGAAAACTCAAGTGCCAACAGTGATCATTTCCAGGCAAGCTGGCAGTGCCAGTACTGCTTGGATATGCCTCCCATAGTCTCCGGGGAGTTTTCAAGTTTTCAAAATGATCAGTTGAGGGCTGGGTATGGTGGCTCCTGCCTGTAATCTCTGCTACTTGGGAGGCAAATATAGGAGAATCACGATTTGAGGCTAGCCTGGACAAAAAATTGTTAGCAAGAATTCAAATCACAACAAAACAAGCTAGGCATGATGGTAAACATCTAAAATCGCAGCTACTCAGGAAGCGTAAGAAGGAAGAATCTTGGTTGGAGGCCAGTCCCAGGCAAAACTGTGAGACTCTGTGTGAAAAAAATCCTACAAAATTACTAGAGCAAAAAAGGCTAAAGGTGGGGCTTGAGGGGCAGAGTGCTTGCGTAGGAAGCATGAGGCTCTGAGTTCAAGTGCCAGGAACACACACACACACACACACATACACACACACACTCTTAACATGTGATCACTTCTGCCAATGCGGATCCCAGTTCAAAAATGTCTAAGGTGTACAATGTGAACACTGTGCTGTTCAATAACATCAGAACCAACTGTCTAGTTGATTCTATGTATGATTAATTTACTAAGTGGTATAATTATTTTAGGCATACTTTTCTATGTTTTAAGTAACCAAAGCCAGTATGCTTTATAGCACAGGTTCAGATTGCCCACAGAACAAAGGAGGCTGAGGCTGGCAAGGAACAGTCTTCCTTCCTAACTTACCCTACTATGGAAAAGGAACATTATGCATCCCAACTAAAACTAGTTTCCCAATGTACACAGTCTCAGGCTATAGAATTAAAATAATTATAAGATAATCATTATAACTTAAGTCAGCAGTCACCCACAACACTTAATAGTGCAATTATACATTTTGAAATCCACTCTGAAGCCAACACTATTTCTTATTCTGAAATGAGTAATTGGAGCTACTCTCTCCTTCACAAAGCAACCAAAGCTCTGAGGTTTGGCCTACTCCCCACACCGTACCAACTGGGATCTGAAGCGGTACCCCCCAGGAACCTCCAGAGCCCTCCAGCTTCTCCCAGCATGAAGGGCCTCATGGGAGCTCTTAGGGCCAGGCCCCTTCCCCCACCCACCTGCTGGTGGTACATCATCCTGGGAGGAGGTAAACCCTGCAATGGAGGAGGGCAGGATGGATGCTGAGAGCAAAGGTGGAGATGCCCCCAAGCCTGAAATGCGCGTCCTTGTGAAAAGCACCTATGAAGGACATTCTGCTCCCTGCGGGGGACATTATCTTTGGACATTTTATGAGACACATGGGTCTTGACAGAAGGGCCTTGATACAGGCAAAATGACCCAACTCTCCCCACTGGTACCCTGCTAATGTCAACAACAGACTTTCTATGTAAGTCCCTTTAAGTGTGTGCTTTTCCTTTAAATAAGCTGAGGTGCTGGGGCTGGGGCGATCTGCCTGATGGCTGTGTCAGGGTTGTGAGTGAGGCCAGCCGAGCTGATCTGCCCTCCACAGAGGCCGGGAGGAAGCTGCCCAGCCGCCACAGCCTCTGCTGCCAAAGCACAACTCTGGCTCCTGCGGGCGCTGTTTCTAGCAGCCTCCACTGGACTCTAGCGGTCGCTGTCACCTGGGTGGGGGAGCACTGTGACTGGGTGGACCGCTTCCCTCGCTGGCAGCGGGAGCCGGATGCCCAGGTCACTTCTTGAGTCAGCTGTGCTGCCACAGCAGGCCTAGGGCAAGGCATCTCCAGCGTCTCTTCACCATTACTATTAGTACGGTAGCCTGGGTGATAACAGGAGGGGAGTCAGCAGCAGCCAGGAGGCAGCTGATGAGCTCCAGAAGCAGGGGAGACAGAGGCTGGGCGGGGCTGAGAACCTGCAGACCAGTCAGTGGGAGACTTTCTGGAAGCAGCAAAGCCTTAAGATCCAGGGTTCTGGGTACCCTGAGGCTGAAGAGCTGTAATATCAGCTACTGTGGGAGCTACGGGACCCAATACCCAAGGCCCACTCAGGAGCACTAACGCCATTCGGCACTGCCTGCTGCGCTCACTGTGGTCGGAAGCAGTAGATGACCAATCCCAAGGCCACTGGTGGTTAAAGCCCAGAGCAGCAGTCACCCCAAGTGCCTAGAACCTTGAGTCTCTGGCTTCTAAAGTCTGGGGCAACAGGCCTTCAGCTCTCAGGCCTTACAGCTGTGTGCCTCTAGCCCTGCCAGACCTAGGCCTTCGGTACTTGAGAGCCCAGAACTGCCAACCTTCAGTCTTTTCCTAACCTCCCACAATTCCTACCTGCATGGAACTAGCAGCTGACTGGGAGCAGTCTGAAAGACCAGCACTTTCATGTGAGATGGGCCGGTGTTTTCCAGGTATCGTGTGTGTTTGGGAGGGTGTGCATGCGCGCACACACGCCAGCGCCAAGACTTGAGCTCAGGGCCTTGCACTCTTGCTCATGGCTGGCACCCTATCACTTATGCCATGCCTTCAGTTTGGCATTTTGCTGGGTAACTGGAGATGCAATATCTCATGGACTTTTCTGCCCCAGGCTGGCTTCAAATCGTGATCCTCCAGGTCTCAGCCTCATGAGCAGTGGAGGTTATAGATGTGAGCCACCAGCGCCCATCTGATGACCTTTTAGGTCACAGCCTGCTAGGTGTCTTTCCAGGTGAAGAAGAGAAAACAGTTGGGATGGAGATTGAGAGTGGGCGCAGAGGCAGCGCGCACGCGCTGTAGGTGACGGTACCTAAAACAATTGGGATGGAGATTGAGAGTGGGCGCAAAGGCAGCGCGTGGGCGCTGTGGGCGACGGTACCTAAAACAATTGGGATGGAGATTGAGAGTGAGCGCAGAGGCAGCGTGCATGCGCCGTGGGTGACGGTACCTAAAACAGTTGGGATGGAGATTGAGAGTGAGCGCAGAGGCAGCGCACGCGCGCTGTGGGTGACGGTACCTAAAACAATTGGGATGGAGATTGAGAGTGAGTGCAGAGGCAGCGTGCATGCGCTGTGGGTGACGGTACCTAAAACAGTTGGGATGGAGATTGAGAGTGGGCGCAGAGGCAGCGCGCACGCGCTGTAGGTGACGGTACCTAAAACAATTGGGATGGAGATTGAGAGTGGGCGCAAAGGCAGCGCGTGCGCGCTGTGGGCGACGGTACCTAAAACAGTTGGGATGGAGATTGAGAGTGGGCGCAAAGGCAGCGCGCGTGCGCTGTGGGTGACGGTACCTAAAACAATTGGGATGGAGATTGAGAGTGAGCGCAGAGGCAGCGCGTGCGCGCTGTGGGTGACGGTACCTAAAACAATTGGGATGGAGATTGAGAGTGAGCGCAGAGGCAGCGCGCGTGCGCTGTGGGTGACGGTACCTAAAACAGTTGGGATGGAGATTGAGAGTGGGCGCAAAGGCAGCGCGTGCGCGCTGTGGGCGACGGTACCTAAAACAGTTGGGATGGAGATTGAGAGTGGGCGCAGAGGCAGCGCGCGTGCGCTGTGGGTGACGGTACCTAAAACAATTGGGATGGAGATTGAGAGTGAGCGCATAGGCAGCGCGCATGCGCTGTGGGTGACGGTACCTAAAACAGTTGGGATGGAGATTGAGAGTGAGCGCATAGGCAGGGCGCATGCGCTGTGGGTGACGGTACCTAAAACAGTTGGGATGGAGATTGAGAGTGGGCGCAGAGGCAGCACGCGTGCGCTGTGGGTGACGGTACCTTTCTTACTCCAGTGTCGTGCGCTATCCACCGGATCACTGCTTCAAACACGTATCTTTCGTTGCCAACGTTCAGCTTCTCTAGAGAAATCACCTCCTTGAGCTTCTGAGGACTGAGCTCGAGGAACTCCTCCGTGCTGCTCACATCCCGGAAGTGCGTCTCCAGGAACTCGGTGGCCAGGTAATGCACGTGGTGCAGGCAGTAGTGCAGCGCGAAGTCGCGGATGCCGATGCAGTTCTCGGCTGCGATGCAGCCTTCTAGGAACTCGCAGCACAGGGTTTTTAGGTCCGTCAGTAGCAGCAGGTCGGCTGCCTGGACAACGTCTTGGATTGTGTCTTCGTTGAGCCTGATCTGTAAGAGGACCAGAAACATTCTGTATTTGAATGGAGGCAGCTGAACTCAAACCACTCGTCTGGTAAGTCAGCCCACACAAATGTCCATTTCGTATGTCTGAGGCGAATGAATGCTGGCCATCTCATGGTCAGTACAGCCCATGTGTTCAAACACTGGAGACACCCAGGGGCCTTCCACCCTTCTACCATGGCAGATCTGGTTCATTTTTCCAGCCCTGCCCCTGCTGGGCTGGCGTTTACTCCCCTCACCCTGCTGCAGGGAGGACCTGGCCAGGTGCTCGCCTCTGTAACTCACAGACACCTGGCTGAAAGGTGTAGCAAGCAGGTTCTTTACCTTTCTATGGGAACCGAAGGGGGTTTCCCTTATATGCACACCCGAGCTGTTGAAACCTTGCCTTCAAATACGCCATGTGGGTGCAAGCTCTTGAAGCAGAGGGGTTTGTATGGCCTCCCGGGTCCCACTCCGAATGCTCAGAGAGGGTCCCAGGTTAACAGCAACTGAGCATCCCACTACCCTCCAGACTGAGACGTCCGCCTGAGGGCCCCACCCTTAGGATTGAGTGCTTCCCCTGCATTTCCTGTGTTCTTTCTCTACCCACTCCAGTTTCTCCATAACAGTAAAGCAACGTGGAGATCCCTGCTGGCCACATGCTGGCCATCCATGGTGACCGCCACGAGGGCCCCGTGGGAGGGGGCCGCCTGCACTCTGAGGCCAGGGAATTCACAGTGCCAGAGGCACTGGCAGCACAGGCTAAGCATGCACACCACACTTGAAAACAGACACCGAGCAACTGAACCGTATGACTCAGTACTGAGCCACACACAAGGGAACCTTGCCCACCCACAGGACATTCATTGTAGGTAGTGGGAAGGCAGTGAGTATCCAAACTCCTAAATTATATCTTAACCAAACCAAATGCCAATGCAGGAGTCTGTTACAGCTTACACTATACATTTAAAGTTTTAAATTTAAAATCAGGGGGGCTGGGAAGGTGGCTCAGTGGTAGAGCACTTGCCTTGCATGCTCAAGGCCCTGGGTTCGATTCCTCAGCACCACATAAGCAAAAAGAAAAAAGCCGGAAATGGTGCTGTGGCTCAAGTGGTAGAGCGCTCGCCTTGAGCTGAAGAGCTGAGGGACAGTGCCCAGGCCCAGAGTTCAGGCCCCACGACCGGACCCAAAAAAAAAAAAAAAAAAATTTAAAATCAGGGGCTGATCACATAGTGGATTTGTAGTCTGTGGTCCAACCCACGCCTGCTCAGGGACGTGTGCTCGCAGTACTAACACCTGTACAGAGTACAGGCGCACCACGTCACACGAGAGGTTGCTCTTACAATGCTCTTACAGTGCCACGAGGATTTTAAGGGCGGTCCTAAAATTGCTTTAAATTCATTCATCTTTAACAATTACACACATGAACGCCCACTGCCTGTGCTTAGAAAGAAGAGGAGGCACTATTCGAAAATCATACCACACACTTCAAAAAGATGAGAAATCATCAAGTCGGGACAGAATGCACTCAGAGAAGGAAAGCAATGTACCCCAAATACTGAGGAAGTATGCAGGGGAACCTGGAGAGACGGAAGGGAGGATGGACCAAAGGAGACCACAGAGAGAACTAAGGGAACGCCTTCTGAGTAACGGCTATAAGATATTCTAACCTGTTCAAAACTCGCCCTGACACTCCTGACTCTTCTCAGGAATTTCTATCAACATCTGCAGCCGGGGGAGGGGAGAGGGCAAAAGAAAGAAGTCTAGTCACGAATCATTTCTTCCCCGGGCATCGTTTCATCTCTAGAAACCCACATGGGCCCAGAGAGCAAAGGGAAACCCGCAGGATGGCTGGGTGGGGCACGGCGGTGCAGGCCGCAGAGCAGGGCAGCTGACAGGCTCCAGCGTCTTTCAGCCACGGGAATCCCTTTTTGGGAAAGGAATTCTCATGTCTACAAGACAACCCGTAACCAAGGAACCTTCTCTTTCCATGCCTTGGAGCTGGAAAGGCCCGCAGCAGGGTGGATACAAAGCAAGGCTGGATTCTGGGTGCTCAGAGCCCGTGGTGTTGGCTGGCAAAGGCTGTGCTGCTCGTCCAAGCTCACGCAGCGTGGCTCGGAACGGCAGACCACTGACTTCGATTTGGGTGCACGACCCTACTTTGGCAGCTCCTCTTTAGGGAACGGCCGCTGAAGGTGTCACGAAGGAGGTGGCAGAGCCTTCGTCACACGGCCCCTGAGGGTTAAGAAGCCCCTCCTCCACCCTCTCCGGGGTCTCGTACCTGCCCGCTGAAGATGTAATCCAGGATCTCTCTCATAACCATTACCGATATCCCTTCAAGTTCAATCTTATAAGTGGATCCATCATCTTTTGGAGGATTATAGTTTAACTTTGTCCTAAGAAAAGGAAAAAAAAATATGAATGCACTAAATACGCTATTTACTTAGTATATTCTCCTCTGCCTAAAAAATTTAGTTGGTTAACTTCAACACATCTCTGTAACTTTATAGAACATTGGTCCCAGGATTCAAAATGTTATTTTATTTTTCTAATACTGGAGATTGAAGCCAGGGCTGTATAATATCTAGGAAAGTGCTTTGCCACTGAGTTATACCCCCTAATCCTCAAAATGCTACATTTATTTATCATCTATTTCATTGCACTGGTCTGGAGCTTGAGCTCAGGCCTGGGCACGGTCCCTTTGGTTTTTCGCTCAAGGCTAGCCTTCTATCAAACTGCGCAATAGCCTCCAGGTTAGTTGGAGATGAGGAGTCTTACAGACTTTCCTGTGGGGCTGGCCTCGAACCTCGACTCTCTGCATAATGGATATGCGTAGTTATCAATTTGCTATCAATGCTCCCCTCCACAGACATCATCGTGTCACAGATCTTGGTGGCACACGTCTGCAGATTGGAAAAACATAGGAGAAAAGCATGGACAGGTGTCTGGGACATAGCAGCGGTCTCAGAGGGAAGTCCCCTCTCACCCCGTTGAGTAGCACGCTGGGCATCGGGTGGGAGCCACCATAGTAGGCTCTGTCTTGGGGCACTGAGACTAGCACTGGGCCACCAACAAATCTTGTGCCAAGTGAGGGGCAGAGGACAGGAAGTAACAGGTGCACACAGCTTTGCACAGTCCAACTGAGTGCACCACAAAGTTGGAGGCAGTGATGGCCAGGCGGGAAGGGAGCTGGCTTGCTGCCCATGCATGGTTCAGAGTAGGTGCTGGAATAGAGCTCCTCCCCTCCCCATGTGCCCCTCCCCTTTTACCTGGAGAGATTGCAGCTTGTACTTATTGACAGTCAAACCAATTTCCCTTCATCTGGATCTTGGAAGGACTCATAATTTTAGGAATAGTTTCCTGACCTGACTTCCTAGAACCTTCTGGAGAGCTTTTATAGACAAGCAGATTCTGGGGTCCCATCTCAGAACAACTAGGTCAGGTCAAGACTATGTATGTGTGAAAATCCCCAGAGACCCTCCCCACCCGCCGCTCCTTTGGAACTCGGGTCTGCTGAGCACCCCAGCTGGCCCCCAAGAGCAGCCATGAACCCACCCCGACAACCCTCTCCGTTTTCCTCTTCCTTACAGAACTCATCGCCATCTATTCACCATCTAGCACGCTGGAAAGACACTCTGATTTGCTTCCTGTTTCCTGTCCATACCTAATAAACAATGGGGTGGCAGTTGGTATGAATTTGACATGATCATGAGCATACAGTTAGGAACCATCCTGCAAAATTAGGGACTGCTTCATGGAGCCCTAAAAATCCAATGACCACAGCTGTTCAGAAACAGCATCACTGACGGAGAGCTCTTCCCACCACTGCTGCTGGCCTGGGAACCCCAGGGCCTCTGGCATACCCACCATCACGGCAGCCATCCTGTACGGAGGGTGTGCTCTTCCTCCTGTAGGATTTAATGCCCACCTCTTCCAAAGCTGGCCATAGATCTAGGGTGCAGTGATCCGCTCTGGCCTGTAAGGCCGAATGTAGGATGGTTTGTGAAGTCTGGCTGCACCCCGCTCCCCACCCCCTCTGTCCCCTGCCTGGGAAGCCAGGTGTCACCTTGCCAGCCAGTACCATGGAAGGGGGAGCTGCCCACCCTGCACCATGAGAATCCTGAAGAGCTCCATACTACAGCCACCCTTCCCACGAACCCAGGCCCCTGCACACCCCAAGTGCACGTGGCTTCCTATGGAGGGCTTGTCATTCACCGTGAAGATGAAATACAGCGGTCTGTACTTGTCTCTGCTGAGTAACCACGCCCCTTTGCCCCAGCACTAAGGAGAAATATAAGAGCAGCTGAGTCTCTGAGTCATGGGTTCAAGAGAAGGACGATGGTGTTTTCCAAAGAGAACGCAAAAGCTGAGTCCTAACACGACAAGGAAACTCTGCCGTGCACACAGGGTGGCGATCCCAGGGGTCCTGGGAGGGGGCAGCTGCGTGGAAGCAGGGCACCGGGCAGCGACAGCCACCCTCCAGGGCCAGACAGACTCTAAGCGCGATGCACAGCACTCGGCACTAAATGCAAACTCAGGGAGCAGCCGCTGGCTGGCAGGCAGGGCCACTCTGGGATAGCTGTGCACAGCCCTCCTAACGGCCAACCTAACGCCAACGAGGCGCACGCTGCAGCCCGTCTCCCAGAGCTGGCACGGTCCCCCCACAGGAGGCTCCGGCACGCGCTCTGTACATCCTTCACCCTCCAGCTCTCCTGGGCGTCCCCTGAGTGAGGCCACTGGCTCCAGCCAAGGTGCGTGTTCCCGGCTGTGAAAGGCTGTAGTGTACCCCACAGCTACAATCTGGAACAGCTGCTTAGTGTCCTGCCCAGATTACCGTTGTTCTGACCATTGGATTTCTTTCAGAACGGTGGCTCGGTGCCTCGTTATTTTCAGAGTTCCCAGCAGGTCTCTGAAAACACGGGGGTTTTATCTGAGTACATTCTGGAAACTTCCCTCCAGCGGCAGCAGGGTAGAGAAGCAAGGCCACGCTGAGAGTTACTGTCGGCTGGAGTAGAAGGTAAACAGGAGGGCACAATGCTGAGGGGGCAGACTGGGGACACGGACAGGCAGGGATGAGGCAGGTGGGAGAGAGGGCAGGTGAGGCCAGAATCTGGGGCATAATTAAGGCACAGGGAGAGACAGGAGGACACCAGAAAGTAGACTGAGAAGGGACAGATGTTACAGAAAATGGGGGAGGCTGAAAGTCAAGAAAATGGTGGCAATGATAAACAGCCTCAGGTGGAGCACCATAAGCACCTGGAGGTTTGCACTTGATTTAGCAGTTATATTTCACATTTTTTAAAACAATAGCTTCTTTTCTTTCTCTCTTCTTTTCTTTCATGCTAGTTCTGGGGCTTAAACTGAGGGCCCATGCACTGTCCCTTAGCTTTTTTGTTCAAGGCTGGCAACACTAGAACCAGACCTCCTCTTGCGTTTACGCTGCTTAATTGGAGATGAGTCTTATAGACTCTTCTCCTGGGCTGGCTGTGAACCACAGTCCTCAGATCTCAGCCTCCTGCGTAGCTAGGATTACAGGCGTGAGCCACCAGTGCCCGGCTAAGGCATACCTTTAATAAAGTAATGAGATGCAAGCCTAACTGCAGAGCAAAGACAAAACAGGAGGTGCGATGTGTCCGCGAGAGTGTGGGCAGCGCAGAGGAGGAGGCAGTCTCCGTGTTTAACAGACACCTTCATTCAACACGCGCTCACTTCTGACCAGCCAGGGAAGGCAGCACGCTGGCGTGCTAGGAAAAGCAGCCGTGAAAGAAGGGAAAATGAAAACTAGAGAAGGAAGAGGATTTTCAGCAGGAAGGGTGGTGAGGAGGAACAGAGTATAGACGTGGGGACGAGGCATTTGCCTGAGCCTGCCTGCTCTATAGGAGACTGAATCAAACAGAATTCAAGGTGGACTTCAGTTAAGCAGTTTATATCTCCAACATTCTAAGACTCTAATAATGCAGACGAGAGGATAGCATATTATAACTTGCTGCCTGGTTTCATATGGCCATTGAGCTAAACATATTCTGTATTTCTACAAGGTGGTCCAAACAAAACCCAGACAGAGATCACAGACCATCTGCAAAGCCTAAAATATCTCTGACCCTTTATTGGGGAAAAAAAAAAACACCCTGTCAATCTTTGTTCTGGATAACACCACTCACCTTTTAACAGTTCACTCTAAAGATAGATAAACTAAGAGTTCTGAGCCATCATTTCAAAGTGATAGCCCTGGCGGTCAAGCCAACAAGTCGAATCCACATTGCCGGCGTTTTAAAATGAGACATCTTTCTGGACTACACACTGGCTTCACAGAATACATCTGCTTCAAGGTCCTGGCCCGGGATGTGGCTGGAAGGGCTCTCATCTGTGCTACAGAATGCTACCAAAAGGAATCCCAATGTTGTCTCCTAACTGGCTTATTCACAGGGAATAAACTCTAAAATGTCCAATAGAGGAGGGGAAAGCGGATTACACGCAACAGCGGTGTGAAGTAATGACCCAGAAGACACGGCAGGCATGGGCGATACGCTGAGATACAGACTGCTATGCAGCGAGGTCATGTGGGAACAGGAACTGTAAATGTGTAACACACACATCACAACTATAAGACATTTAGTATGCTGTTCACAACCAGAGACTAACTTAAAGTGATGAAGTATCTAAGCTGTCAAGGTGATGTTCCTTATTTTTGTCTATGAAATAAGTTTTTAAAAATATTTAAATCTAGTTCTCACGGAAAGCAGTCAATAATTTTTACTTCTTCAGAGATAAAGTGTTTGGGTTGGTGGCATGGCTCAGATGGTAGAGCGCCAGCCAATTATTTAAGAGTGGGGACACACACACACACACACACACACACACACAGAGTGTTAAAATTTTAAGATGAGTTCCAAGATAGAATCATGATACAGCAACTTGTGAAGCAAAAAATTCTTCTAGAATGAAACAAGCTTCATTCTTTGTTCTGGTCACACCCTGACCTTTTGAAAATACACATAAAAGACATTCATGTCACAACCTGTCAGTTTCAGATTTTCAATTTAGGAATTCTTTTTCAGGTGTTATTCAAAAGAGGCTCAAGACCCCATTCACAAGGGTCATCTTGAGATGAAGCCTCTGATTTTGGAGCTCGCCCTCCCCCCTTAAATAATGGTAATTTCTATCTCTCGGCTCTGGAAGCCAGCAAATCCAAAGCAAGGGAGCAATGGTCAGGATTTGAGGGAGGACATTCTTTCTGGCTTATAGACGAGGTCTCTTTGTCCCTACACAGCAGAGAGAGGGCAGGACAGGGAGGGCAGGACAGGGAGGGCAGGGAAGGAGGGGCCTCTCTTAAAAAGATTTCCCTGGGGCTGGTGGAATGACTCACATGGGAGTGTGTCTTCCTAGCAAGCACCGA